CTCGTCACCAGTAGTTCGAGTCTCGGGCCGTGGTGGGTGCGCGGGCGCAGTCGCCGGTGGCAGCCGGACTCAAGAGGCGAACTCGCTGGTGCGCAGGCACCCATCTCCGCACTGAGGTGCGGTGCACTTCAGACTCGGAGGTTGTTTGTTTGTTTGACATGGAATATGTACAAGATTATAACCATAACAGAGGCAAACTGCACCACATTTTACAAGCTGATTTACAATCTGACCCACTGGCTTCATGAGCCGACTGCACCAGGAAGCACTTTATAAAGAGTCAAACCATTACAAACTCATATAAGGGGATAAAACAGACGCTTTACACGGTGAAATGTGACTGATGAAAACATAGGAGCTTAATCCGACACCAGTTTGACGACGAATAATGTCGGGTGACGACTCTGACTTTTTTTCTTTTTTTTGCCACATTGGACTCCATCGAGAAGAAATTCCATGCATACTGCCTGCTTAAATGTTCACTACGGCACAACTTATTGGGCAAATGTGTTTCCATCTCTGCTTTTGTGCATTTACTCTATTACAGGATGGGGCAATTGGACTTGGCAGAGGATTGCACTATCTGAGTGCTTCTAGTTTTAGAATGTTTTAATGGTATAAAAACCTTCTACAGCCTTTCTTAAAATACACATTTTTTTACCCTGCACTCCAAATCAAATGGCAGCCTCCAGTTTTTGTATAACAGGGCCAACACTATTGTGGGAAAACAAACAAACAAATAAAAAGCTGCAGCACTTTGGATGCCTTATGTACGGAAGCTGAGAGCGGCCATTTTCTGCATATATTTTCCATGGTTTTCTTATAATAACAACATATTTTTTGTTGAAATAAAGAGGACCTTTTTCTCGAGATAATTTAATTTCCTGATGGTTTTCCTCTTGTGCACCATTTAGTAACCATGGAAGATGGTCTGGTCCACTCAGCTGTTCATTGTTAAACTTACTTACTTACTTACGTACTGACTGACGTACTTGCTTAATGACTTACTTACTGACTTACTTACTGACTTAATTACTGACTTACTGTATTTTTCGGACTATAAGCCGCACCGGACTATTAGCCGCACCTGCCATTTTAAAAAAACCACGAACATTAGCATATAAGCCACACCGGACTATAAGTCGCACCCCCAACATAAAAAACAGTACACGCAAAATTGTCGTCAAAAAAGTGAATTCAACATCAAAACATAAAAACGAAACCTTTAGGAATTAAAGTTCGGAGGAATATGATTCATTTAACTGACCTTATTTTGGTAGTTTTCTTTAACAGTTTCTGGTCCAACAAAATGTCTCATTCATCGTCTTCCGGCGCACTGAAACCATCGAAGTCCTCCTCTTCAGTGTCGGAGTTAAACAAGCTGAGAAAAGCTGCGTCACACAGCGGTATCTGTTCAGTGCTGCTTTCTGTGTCGCTGTCCTCCCGGGGCAATGCTGGCTCTGAAGCTGTGGTGTCCTCTTCATGTAGCAGTCCAGCTTTTCAGAACCCATTGGTGATGGTGGACTCATTCACTCTGCTCCACAGAGGATCCACTGGCAGACATCAGGAAGTGACGCTCTTCGCATTCGGCCAGTTTTTGTGAATGATTTATCCYCGTCAGTCATCCAAGCCTCCCATTCAGCCCTGAGTGCTGCTTTAAATGCACGATTCACACTGATGTCCAGGGGTTACAAAAACTTTGTTGTACCTCCAGGAATAACAGCAGGAATTGAGATTGTTTTCTTGATGGCTGCTTTCAGCGAATCCGTGATGTGGGCCCACATACTGTCCAATATCGTGTCTGTCGAAGATCCGTCATGTCGTGTCTGCTACTAGCTAAAACAAAATGGCGCTACACCTCCGGCTAAGCTGGCAGTGGTCACTCGGCTGTCGACCGGTCGACCCGTCGTCACGTGGTTGTTCGGCGTTCGTTTTCGCACTGACCTTTCATAGTTCCCCCGAGAAACCCCAACCTGAGATGCTGGGAAAGCCCTCCCGCTCCAGCATTTGTCACTGCATGGGATACCTTCCCCGGGGAGTGCAATGTGGTAAAAAAAGTCTGTGGATCTTCACTCGACGTTTATCCACAAACTTGTCCCGGATTAAGTTCCAATTTTTTTCAGTCAGATTCCACCGTGAAAAATGTCTGTTTTATCCCCTTTTATGAGTTTTTGGCCATTGACTATCTTTAAATTGCTGCTTCCTGGTACAACAGTCGGCTCTAGAAGCGATAGCTTTTTTCTTCTTTTTTTCCTTTCTTTTTTTGAAGCGAGTGGTTGAAGCAAATGCAGCATAAGAGCCCCCTGGTAGCTGAAGAAAAAAATCCACGTGTAAGCCGCACCGGACTGTAAGCTGCATGGTTCAAAGTTCAGGAAAAAGTCGAGGCTTATAGTCCAAAAAATACGGTACTTACTTCCTTGCTTACTTACTGACTTACTGACTTCCTTACATCATGACTTACTTACTGACTTCCTTGCTTACTTACTGACTTACTTCCTTACTTACAGTACTTCCTTACTTACAGACTTCCCTACTTACTGACTTTTTTACTTAGTGACTTACTTACTGACTTCCTTTATTACTTAATGACTTATTACTGACTTACTGACTTAATTACTGACTTACATGCTGATTTTCTTATTTACTTAATGACTTACTTACTGGCTGACTTACAGACTTCCTTACTTGCTTAATGACTTACTGACCTAATTACTGACTTAGTCACTTACTTACTGACTTAATTACTGACTTACTTACTGACCTCCTTATTTACTTAATGGCTTACTTAATGAATTACTGACTTATTTACTTACTGACTTACTTAGACTTCCTTACTTAATTACTGCCTTACTTACTTACTTAATGACTTATTTACTGACTTCCATACTTATTTTCTGACTTACGTACTGACTTACTTACTGACTTACTTACTTACTGACTTACTTACTGACTTACTTACTTAGTGACTTACTTACTTACTTACTTACTTACTTACTTACTTACTTACTGACTTACTTACTGACTTACTTACTGACTTACTTACTTACTTACTTACTTACTTACTTACTTACTTACTTACTGACTTACTTACTGACTTACTTACTTACTTACTTACTTACTTACTTAC